CACATTTTATTCTTGTTTTTTTTATTGTACATTTTACTCTACTCGCATTAAAGAATGGTACTCATTATCCTAAGAAAATAACATGCATATTTTTTCTCATTTAATTACACTATTCTAAGAAAATTTTATTCAAACAAACCTAATCTTGGTTCATTCATATAATATAGTCTAATGATATATTTTATAACTGAACTATTATTCTTCTACAAATTTTATGTTTATAGTTTTTTCGTTTCATATTTTACCATCAACTCTTTATTGCTGTGTATCTTACTAATTCGTTAGATTTATAAGAGAATGATAAAGTGTAAAAAATGTTTAAAAACTAAAACTAAAACAATATCATTTTATCACTAGACGTTATCATTTTGACTTTACTTTGTTTTCCCTGTTTTATGATATCTCCTTACTTAATTAGACTTTTAATATGCGAAAATTAAACAAATTGATAACAAAATTTGTGAAAAAAGAAATCGTAAAGTAATGATAATTGAGTGATGAGGTATACCATTAAACCTACAACGATCATGTTTGTTTGTATTTATTTATTTAGAAAAGGCTTGTTTAACAAAATTAACCAATTTGTTTTCTAGATTATATGTTCCGAAAATTTTCCAAATAAGTTTTCTAAAATTTCTTTGAAAAGACTTTTATAATAAAATTTTCTAAACCAATAATTTGCATTATAAAAAAGACTTTCTGAAATAAGATTGCTGGAATAAAATTTCCAAAATACATATAATACTTACAAAACAAATTTTGGGAATATGAAATACATTTTAGACAATTTTTCGAAATAAGCTTTTTTTTCTTCTTTTTTTCAGATTTTTTTCTTCTTCCTCTGCAATAGGGAGGATGATGAAAGGGACAACGGTAAAAATGTGAAAGTGATAGTGTGATGCAATAATAAAGGATAATTTAGTCTTTTTCTATTAGTGTGAGGGTGCAAGAAGCAATAGCCATTTATGTGTTTGTATAGTTTTGGACCCATGTGACCCAATCCATGAGGTCAACAGGGTCAATGAAAAGTGGGACATTACAATAATGAGGAAGGAGTTAAGGTTGTTTGGCCATGGATTATTACATAACAAAAAAAGATTTCGGTAAGAATATGCAAGTTTGGGATGATAAGGGATGTCATTCATCCTTGAACTAAAAAATTTATTCCGATTTCTATATTCATTTTCAATTGTATAAAATTGGGTTAAACATGTTTTTAAACTTTTAACTTTTGATCAAAAAATTAAAATTTCTATGTCTATTAAGCTTGAAAAATAAATGGATATAGTTTTTTTCAATTAAATTACTTAATTTTTTTTTGAAGTGTCAAATACGTTTTATATTAACATTTAAGTTATTTATACCATTTTATATGTTCTTGCTTTAATATCAGCTGAGAAACATATCTAACATATAAAAAAAATTTTAAGGTAATTAAGTTAAAATGACTATATTAATTTTTTGTTTTAAATTTGGAGACCAAAATATATCAAAGTTACAAAGATGATTATAATTTCACCATAAAAATAAGAAATTAAAAACATATTAAACCTAATTTTTTTTTCTCATCTTTATAATATAATCTTTTAATATCAAATATTTAGAAATAAATTATATTTGTATACATTTTAAATTAGAGTATTAAATAATATTTTTTTGAAAACCAAAATACTTATTAAGTTTGCAAACATTAATGGACAAAACTGATAAAATTAAAAAAATTATAAGAAAGAACAAGTATCCAAGTTTAAAAATATTTTAAATGTCTATTTACTTTCTTTCGATAAATTCTAATTAAATAATTTTTTTATACACTAATAAAAATTATAATATATCACTTGAATGAAATCATACAAAACACAAACATTAAACTGATAATAATTGAAATTTAACATAAATATTTCATCTTTTGAATTTCAAAATGTTGAATGGTGATAAAGAGAGTCATGACAATGACATTAAATTATTAAACTATAGTAAATAAAATATATTTATACAATTGTGGTAATAAAATTATACTTATGAAATGAGTTAAAAAAATAATTATATAAAAACAATAAAAAATAATATTCTGCATGATAAAAAATAAACAACAACAAAAATATTAAAAAGGGGTGAAACTGATTAAATGTGTGTCTCAAAACAAGTTGATACATCATTTAGTGAAATCATACAAAGAAAAAGAAAAAGAAATGTATAATTAAGGACATAATAAGATGAAAATATATTAAAAATGTAAAAAAAAATTTATAGATCACAAAATAGTTGAATTTTTAAAAGATAATGAAAATTGTTTTAGCAAACTAAAAGTTTTTCCTATGAAACAAAAATTAAGGACCAAAGAGAATAATAAAGATAAGTTTTTTAAATTACTTACTAAATAAAAGTATTATGTAATTGAACATTTGAAATTAGAGTAAAATAGTGTTAGATGAAAAAATAAGTGTTAGACATACTTTTTCCTTTTAGCATTGATCTTGTCATCCTCATAACTGTGCAATTCTTTCTATTTTAGACACCATTTTGTTGTGGAGTATATGCGACTGTAAGTTGTCACTCTATGCCTTCATCTTTGCAGAATTTATCAAACTCGAGATGTGTACTCCTTGCCACGATCACTTAGTAATTTTATCCGTTTTCCACTTTGCTTCTTAAAAAGGAACTTGAATTTCTTGAATACTCCGAAGACTTCTGATTTTGCCTTTAAGAAATTAACCCATGTTATTATAGAGAAGTCATCAATGAAAAGGATGAAATACCTATTGTTGTGATGTGAAGGCGTACTCATTGGTCCACATACATCAATATGAATAAACTCCAATAACTTTTTTGCTCTCCATGCTTTGTCTGTTGAGAATGGTAATCAATGTTGTTCGCTGAGGAGACACCCTTCACATGATTTATTATTCTCCTTCAAGAATGGAAAATCTCTCATCATGTTTTTTTGATGTAGAAGCTTTAAGGCATGTGTGTTGAAGTGACTAAATCTCATATGCCAAAGCCATGAATCATCAACTTCTACCTTCATGAAAATATTAGTTCCAGGTTTGAAGCTTATAGGAATGCTTTTATTTCTCTTCTCCATTTTTACTTGGCCAATTTATATAATTTTACCGTCACAAATTTTGCATGTATCTTTCTCAAAACAAAAAGAATAATCATTCTCCATCACTTTAACAATACTTAAAAGATTTTCTTTAAGATTTGAAACTAGTAAATTGTCCTTGATGAATTTCATACCTTTCTTTGTCTCCATCATGACAATTCCTTTGCCTCGAAACTCAACTGTGGTGCCATTTCCTAGCCAGACTTTGACATTGACAGATTTATCAATGTCTTTGAAGATGCTTTGATCTTTTACCATGTGATTGCTGCACCTACTATCCAAGTACCAACTTCCTTCTCCACTAAGAGATTCTTGATTGGTGTAAAATAAAAGTTTCCTCATTATATTTTTTCGCAAAGTTTGCTTTAATGCTTATTTTTATTACGACAATACTTTTCTATGTGACCAAATTTCTTACAGTTTTGACATTGAGATTTTCCATGATGCTAACAATCCGTTTCCAAGTGACTTGTCTTTTTACAGATGCCACATGAAGGATATTTTCCTTAACGAGTCATAAAGAAACTTTTAGAATTTTCTTTATTTCTAGAAATTTCTCCTCTACTTTTATTTCCTTCATATTCTTTATTTTGAGACCGTAGTTTCAGTTTCGATTAAAAAGAATTTTCGACCAGGTCTTTTTCATGCCTCAATCTTTGTTCAAAAGCTTTAAGAGAGACCATTCGTTGTGTTACTAACAATGTAGCCAAATCTTTTGTTTGTTTAATCGTAGTTGAGATTGCATCATATTTTTGGGGAATCGATATTAAAATTTTCTCAAATTTTTTTTTATCAAGAATATTTTCTCCACAGGCTCTCATATGATTAACTATTTCTTTTATTATAAAATAGTAGTCTTTAAAGGTTTGAGATTCTTTCATTCATAATAATTCAAACTCTTGTCGTAGAGAATGAAATTTAACACTGTGTACCTCATCACTTCCTTGAAACTCCTCTTGTATTATGTTCCAAGTTTGTTTTACACGTGTGGCATCAATTATCCTCTGAAAAATTGTGTCATCAACTGTTTGTTGAAGAACAAATAATTTTTTTTCTAGAATCATGGGTATTTATAGACCCATAAATTATTTTAGAACATGCTAGCTACAAGTTATGTGAAATGTTCTACATTTTTACTTATGTATGTTCTTGATTTTTTTTTCATATCTTAGACTTTTCTACAATATTTTAGAATGTATATTACATTTCAATTCTTCTATCTTAGGAGTTTCTATATTCTTCTAGAATTTGCATTACACTTTAATAGTTTTAATTAAATTTTGTTGTACAAACTAGTGTAATTTAATGTTCAGACTGCTTCTCTGTTTCTCAATAATGTGTGGTATTGCTGCTTGGTTTATACATTCATTTTTTAACAATAAATAGATTTCAGTTTCTTTGTATCGTGTTTTTAAATAGTCATTTTTTAACAATGCTTAAAGATGGAGAATTCGTTGATTTAAAATGGCTTTTAGGGAAGCAGTTTGGTATCTAACAAAAGATAGTTTATTCACGTAATTAAAAAAAGATAAACTCCTTGACACAGCTTCATAAGAAACGTAAAAAAAATTATATGAAGTACCTAAAACTTCCATGAAATTTTTTGTATTAGAATGAAAGAATAAAGAGAGAAAAACTATGAATTCTACACAACATGCTTTCCTTTAAAATCTTAATTAAATATTATTTAAGTGTTTCCTTTTTTAAATGTTTTTAATAGTTTTGATAGAATATCGTAATTTCTTTAAAAATCTTACTTAAACAACATAAATATTTTAATATTTAAATTTTTGCTTTGAAATCAAAAGTGAATAATTGCAACTCTTAAAAGTATCTTTCTATAAAAGTGAACGCGCAAGTAGCAGAAAATGAAGTATGCATACCGAGATGGGTTCAGGAGGAAAAATATAAAATATAAATGGTATTTGTCTATGGGTGAGTGATAACACACATCGAGACTACATCTAAAACATACTAATCTTTAACATTATTGCGTTACCTTTGAAGAATTAACTTCAATTCCTTCGATGGAGTTTGCATCTTCTTCTTTATCATCATCATCTTCATCCTTCTTAACATCAGAACCCCATTTCATACACGATGTGTTCATCAACTTTGGTGGAGAAGAAATCGGTAGAAGATTTGTTTCTCATCTCCAATCTGTCCTTTTACAAGCTCAAGTCAAAACTTTTATTAGCCAGGAGAATCTGCAAGAAGGAATGAAGCTGGAAGAGCAGCTTCGAGCAATAGGAGGCACTAAGATTACAATAATTGTTTTCTCCAAATCTTACGCTGAAACTACCCGCTGTCTTCTTGAGCTTCAAAAAATCATTGAATGCCACGAAACATTTGGCCAAATAGTTCTGCCCGTATTTTACGAGATTGGCCCATCGGATTTACGATATCAGATGTATGATTTTGGAAAAACGTTGGAAGAAACTGCACACAGAAGCTATTCAGGAGAACAACTAAAATATGCGTTGTCCAAGTGGAACCATGCACTCACCACAGCTGCAGTTATGACTGGTTGGGATGTCAGAAATTTCAGGTAAANACGTTGGAAGAAACTGCACACAGAAGCTATTCAGGAGAACAACTAAAATATGCGTTGTCCAAGTGGAACCATGCACTCACCACAGCTGCAGTTATGACTGGTTGGGATGTCAGAAATTTCAGGTAAACAAATGAATCCTTCCTACTTTCTTTGGTTTGAGAGTGAATGAAGCATGTGTTAAGGTTATGATTTAATTTTGGTAACACATATCATCTTGAAGGCATGATGCTGAACTTGTAGACGTAATTGTTAACCGAGTTAAGACATTACTGGACTATAAAGACTTGTTTATTACCGAATATCCTGTTGGATTAGAGTCCCGCGTGGAAGACGTGATTAAATGTATTCAAAATCAATCCACCAAAGTGTGTATGATAGGAATATGGGGAATGGGAGGATCAGGTAAAACAACCATAGCCAAAGCCATCTACAATCGAATTTATCGTGAATTCATTGGTAAGAGTTTCATTGAGAATATTAGTTCTGAAGGGTATTTTGCTTTGCAAGAAAATCTTCTTTCTGATGTCCTAAAATCCAACTTGGAGGTGAAAAGCGTTGGGATGGGAAGAACTATGATCGAGAATAGATTTTCTCGAAAAAAGTTGCTCATTGTGCTTGATGACGTGAATCACATTGGCCAATTAGAAAACCTATGCGGAAGTCGTGAATGGTTCGGTCAAGGAACTGTGATAATCATTACAACTAGAAATGTTAGCCTGCTGAACCAAATCAGAGTTAATTATGTTTATCAAACGCATCTTTTGAACGAAAATGAGTCACTTGAGCTTTTTAGTTGGCATGCCTTTAGAGATGCAATACCAAAAAAAGAATGGAATGAACTCGCAAGAAATGTCGTTGTTTATTGTGGAGGACTACCGCTAGCTCTTCAGTTCCTTGGTTCCTGTTTATGTGATAGGACAATAGAAGTGTGGGAAAATATATTGTTGAAACTACAAAGAATTCCCCCGGATGAACTTCTGAGCGTATTAAAAATAAGCTTTGAAGATTTACGTGATACGGAAAAGGATATATTTCTGGATGTATGTTGTTTCTTTATTGGCAAAGAAAGAGACTATGTGACAGAGATATTAAATGGCTGTGGACTACATGCTGATATTGGAATAACAGTTCTCATAGAGCGTGGCCTCATAAAAGTTGAAAGGAACAACAAAATTCAAATGCATAATATGTTACAAGAGATGGAAAGAGAAATTAATCGTCAAGAATGACCAGAGAAACCGGGAAAAAGGAGTCGAATGTGGTTTCAAGATGACGTAGAAGATGTACTGAAAGAGAATAGTGTAAGAACGTTCTTTATATGATTATGAAACTTCTTTTGAAAGTGTTTTCTTTTTAAGTGTAATCCATGTGTTGTTAACTTGTTAAACTCAAAATTACGTCTCAATAATCAATAATTACTCAGGGATTTCTAAATTGCTTTTCTTTGCTATACTCATCACAGGGGACAGAAGCTATATTGTCCCTGAAACTTGATTCCAGCATTAGAGATTGCTTTGAATCTCATGCTTTCAAGGAAATGCAGAGACTAAGACTGCTACAACTTGATGATGTACAACTTAGTGGAGATTGTGGGCACATTTCTAAAGAACTGAGATGGATTTGTTGGCGAGGGTTTCCATATAAATGCATTCCAAAGAACTTTCATTTGGAAAATGTAATTGCAATTGATTTCAAGTATAGTCTTCTTATTCATCTCGTCTGGCAACGACGCGTGGTATTCATTACATGCCCTTTTCTTTTAAAACTAATTGTTTAATTACAATAAAAATAGTATAATTGGTTCTATTTAAAACTAACGCATATTTTATCTTTCTTAATCTTTTGTCGAAAAACTATGGTTGCAGGTTTTAGAGCGGTTAAAATTCCTTAATCTTAGTCACTCCAAATACCTGATAGAAACTCCAGACTTTTCCGGACTACCAAGTCTTGAACAGCTCATTCTAGAAGATTGTCCAAGTTTGCGCAAGGTACACCAATCCATTGATGATCTCTCCAATATACTAGTAATAAATTTGAAGGATTGCACAAGTCTAAGATATCTCCCAAGAGAGATATATAAGTTGAAATCTTTAAAAACTCTCATCCTATCTGGTTGTTCGAAGCTTAGGCCATTGGAAAAGATATAATGCAGGTGGAATCCTTTTTAACTATAATTGCTGAGAATAGAACACTGAAACAGGTGTCCTTTTAAATTGTAAGCTGAAAAATTATCAGATATAAATCCCTACGTTGAATTTGAAGGATTGTTGGTAAATATTTGCTTTTATACTCCACTTGTCATCTTTATTTACTTTATATTTTTTTTAGTTGTTGAATAAAGTTTTTTAGTCAAAATAAATGTAACTAAATTCATGTCTGCACACAAGTTGATAGCTAAAAATCAAACATATTCATATATACGTGAAAGAAACCTTACTGATTAGCCTTTATCCATTTGAATAAATTGTGACTGATGAATAATTTATTGCCCTTGGTTATCGTGACATTGCACAACGAATGTTTAAAGGATAGGTTCAATATTTTGCCAAGACAATAGAAAAAGTTGTCTCAGCAAACATTGATATGTTAAAAAATAGAACGCCATGAAACAACAAAACAAAGTAACATCCCACATCCTTGATATAGAACGGATTTTGAACTTAGGAGTGTAAGCAAGGAAGGATGAGTAGTCCTGAACGATTAAGAGAATATGAAGGTGAGGAAAGCATCAAGGCAAATTTTTCTTTAATGAATTTGAGTTAGGCACAAACAACCACTTTCAATTTGATTGAAATATCATGTTTAAACCTTGTTTTGGAAAATCACACCGAGCCTGAAAAATGTTTATATTACTCACTGAAGAAAATTTAAAATTTCTTTTTTATTACCAACGAACTTTTTTATCAATAAATCTTTTGATAAAAAGAGCAACAATTTTTTCACTAAAATATGCAACGTGTATGAAAAGCTGAACCTAAAATGTTCACCATTTTTTCTCAAAAAGATATCACATGTGGAGGTGTAAAGATTAATTTCAAAGAGGTGCACGAAGTAAAATCCTTAAGAAACTCATCTTCATCTTTTTCAATTTAGAAACCACCAAGGGTTTCTTCTCCAATAACTCCACATAGAAACCCTAACCAACACTAGAGTCAACCATCATGTGTCTTTATTTGGTTAGAGCCTCTGCTGGCGAACACAGTGTGTTGGAAGTCCCACATCGACTAGAGATAAAGCCAATTTATAATATATAAGTAGGGTGCAAACCTCACTTTACAAGCCAGTTTTGTGAAGTTGAATTAGACTTAAAATTCACTTCTTAATACAGTGTCCGATGCCGTTATCAGCATGGTTATCACTTCTTTGTTTTTTTTCACTCCACCACTGATCTTCGTTGCTCGTGGTCGTCGTTGCTCATTCAGTCACCGTGCGTGGTCGCGTTGTTGGGATAAACTTAAATTTTAAGGATTCATTAAAATCTTATTTTATTAATTTTGGGTTTAGTAATATTTGTTTTGATTTTGATAAAGATAAAATAGATATAGGTAGTTTTGATTTTCCTTTTATTTAGGAGAGTATTATTTTATTTTATTGATATAAGATATAGATAGATTAAGTAGATTTTATTTTAAGTTAGTTGATATTCTATTGTTAGTTTTTATTATTTGTACTTAGCCCAAGGCCCTATTTGCACCTATTTAAAGGTTGCCAAGGTTCAATGAAAAGTAACCCTAGTGAATTGAAGAGTATTATTATTTGAGTGGGTCACGTTTTTCCCAACAGTGGTATGAGAGCTTTATGCTCTGAGTACCGAGAGAGAGAAAAAGATAGAGAAAGGAGAGAGTCAAACACCGTGAGAGAAAAAGTGAGTGCTTGATTTTTTTAGAGAGATGGCAAAGGTATTCAATGGGATAAGTGTGCCACAATTGTCAGAAAATACCAATTACGACAATTGGTCTTTGCAGATGAAGGTTGTTCTTGGATCCCAAGACGTATGGGACATAGTGGAGGACAGGTACATTGAACCTACAAATGATGAGCATCAGACAGTGAACCAGATTGCTGTATTGAAAAAGACATGAGTGAAAGACAAATTGCCAAGGATTTCCCATATTGCTTGTTTAAAGATCAATTCAGAGAGGTGCACGAAGTAAAATCCATAAGAAACCCATCTTCATCTTTTTCAATTTAGAAACCACCAAGGGTTTCTTCTCCAATAACTCTACATAGAAACCCTAGCCAACACCAGAGTCAGCCATCATGTGTCCTTATTTGGCTAGAGCCTCTGTTAGCGGGCATGGTGTTTGATGCAATTATCAGCGCTAGAGAAGAAGGAAGGTTAAGATAACTATGACAATTACATGATGGACTTGCTCGTTATTTCATCATCGCTAAGGACTCAAATTGATTGGGCTTGACAATGACGTATTCCATACATGAAACCATGAGAGAACCACCAAACTGTAGCCACCGTTCAACATCAGATCTTTACAAGCCATTAGACCACCATTTGCAGCAAGCACCTGTATAATCACCGCAGATCATACGAACTTGATCTTCCCTTTCCTTTGATATCTTATGATTTTTCATTTTTGATTAGTTTTTATTTGAGGTATTATCGTTTAAGTTTTGGAATGAAGATGTGCTCTCTCCTTTAAGGTGTGGTGCTTGTGCGGTGGAGGTTAAGAAGGATACAAAAAAAAATGAAAAGCTAAAAGAACGAAGAAGAAGGAGAGAAGAGGAAGAAGGTGAATCGGTCAACATTTACTGACGAATTTTTCCTTTGGTAATTACCAATGGATATAAATTTCCATTAGTAAATATTACCGACTACATATTTACCGATGAATTTCGGCCTTTCGAAAAATCTATTGGAAAAATATCATGATTGACATATTTTTAACATTTTCAACGTTATAAAGATTATCCTAGGCTGTAAAGAGGTAAGCAAAATAATGAAAAGGGGATCAAGAAATTGAGTAACTTGCTGCATATATATTATGCGATATCCTTTCTTTTTAGTGACTCTTGCTTGTCTTGAAAAACCAAATTCACTTGACAACCTAACTACTTTACAAGCCATAAAATCTCCTTTATGATCCTTGCTTCTTTTGAAGATGTAGTGTTTTCTATCTGCTCCTAGTCAGACTCTTCCACAACATGGCACAACACGTACAAAGTGGTTTTTTCTTCACTCACGTTTTTTCTAAACACACTAGTGCAGCTAAGGGCTTCGACACCGATTATTTTAGAGATTTTATTTTGGTTCGATAACCGAAGCATATTCAGACGATAAAAAATGTAGAACTTTATGCTTCGGGTCATAACCAAAACATATTCTTTACGTTATGCTTTAGTTCTTTCTGTAACTGAAGCCCATTCCCTATAAATTTTTTAAAAGATTATTGTTTCATTCTCTTCTATCCTCACTTTTTCTTAATATTTTTCACCCAAAACCATTGTAGAGCTACTGTTCTCTCCACCAACAAATATAACAACCACCTTTTTCACCCCTCACATTTAAAATACCTACATTAGGAAGAAAGAATTATGAAAGAGAAACAAAAAAACAAGACGAGAGAACAAAACCTTTAGTTTCTTTCGAAATGGGAAGGAAAGGGAGGCTCGCGACGAAGTGGAGACACACGTCGCATTGGCTACAAGGAAGGGAAGGGAGGAGAGTAGTAGCAAAAGTGACGACATGGAGGAATGATGAAGCGTGAAGGGAAGGGGCATAGTGGCTCTACAATTGAGGAGTAGTGTAGTGATGAAAATGCAAAAGCTATGATGAGAATGTAATTTAACCCTAGTAGACGAATATGTTTCGATTATTTAAAGAATTAAAGCTTATAATTATGAAAATACTTTCAAACATGTCACTATTGGAATTTTTTGAAAAAATATGAGGAATTATAGTCTTTAGCTCTTTAAATAACTAAGGCTTAGAGTTTTGGAAATATTTCCAAAAATATACTAGGTGGCATTTTTGAAAATATTTACAAAACTATTTTAGAACTGAAGCCTATATCAGTATAGGCTTCAACTATTTTAGAACTGATCCCTATGATTGTGTAAAAATTTTCAAAAAAGTCATTACGTTTTGAAAGGTATTATTTTTCTTGAAATCGAAACATATTAGGTGATTTTGATAGTGTTTTGTGCATTAGTGACACAACAACTTGGGAACCGTCTATTCTTCAATCTCTGTTAGCTATCAGCTACATCCCACAGTCCATTCATTTACAGACTTCAATTATCATAGTTAACATTATTTGTCAACTTAAACACACATATTATTATCTAATAATCACTAGATTAAAATGCCGATCCTTGTACTTTTGAAACAGACAAAACTCCTAAGCAAATAAACAACCCATTTAATTAAATTACGTTTACTCTAAGAGTCTTCAATTTTTGAATATCAAAAGATTTCTAACTAGTGTTTGCCAAAACAAATTAACACTCTCACAAGCCTTCAAGAATTGATTGTTTGTGAGCTACTATGTCTGAAGTCATTTGCGGAAGAGGGTTAGCCTTTCAATTTACGAAAATTTGAGATCTTTAATTGTTGGGCACTTACACTGGCATCCATCACTCAGTGGGGTACTCAGTTTCTTAAGTTTCTTTCTAAAAATTGGAGAAGACGTCTCTCATATGCCTTGGTGGAAAAGCAATTGCTTCCAACTTCTCTGGTGTCATTGTGTCACTGTTCATCAGAGGCATTTCTTGTTACAAGAGAGCATAAGTGAATATCCTCTGTTACAAGAGAGCTATGAAAGGAATCTTGTCTAGGATTTCCCACATTCCTTGTTTAAAGATCAATAAAGAATAAATAATGTCAACAACGACAAAGGGTTTATCAAAATTTATAACTTGTCTTACTCATGATAAATCATGTTCCATTTATTTTAATTGAATTTTATTGTAGAAAGTAGTGTAATTTAATGTTCAGACTGCTTCTCTGTTTCTGAATAATGTGTTGTATTGTTGCTTGGTTTATACCTTCATTCTTTAACAATAGATTTCAGTTTCATTGTATCGTTTTTTTAAAGTCATTTTTTACCAATGCTTAAAGACGGAGAATTCGATCATTTAAAATTGCTTTTAGGGAAGCAGTTTGGTATCTAACAAAGATAGTTTCTTCACGTAATTAAAAAAATGATAAACTCCTTTACACAGCTTCATAATAAAGGTAAAAAAAATTATATGAAGTACCTAAATCTTCCATTAAAATTTTTTGTGTTAGAATGAAAGAAAAAAGAAAGCGAAAAACTA